GATTACCCCTCCTCCTTTTGTGAGCCTGTCGTTTCGGATCAGCGACATGCCGGATAGCGAAACTTCAGCGTCCGTCATTCCCGTGTGTAACCACGTCTCGGTGATACCAATGACATCATATGACCCGGACGCTTGGCGACCTATCAGTTCAGCCAGTTTTTAGAAAGACCCTGAGCATTCGTATACAAGCAAGCCAGTTTCTCGGTCTCTAGGAACCCACAGAGGGGTGAAGCGGTCACGTGTGGGAGAATGCCGACCGATGGGAGGTCGGCAGTTACTCGTTTTTTATGGGACAGTGATATCTCGTTTGCAACTTGATTCGGTCAAGGTGCGTCCCAACCTTCGTTTGGATCTACGTCAGAGTCAATTAAAGCAGCAGCCAAGTTACGCTTCTGTACATTCGTCGGTATGCTTGCTGTTTCAGTTGCTTTAATACTTGAGTTGTGCAAAAGCGTTTGCAACCTTTAACCGAATTTCGGAAGGAAGATGTTTCCGATTTCTCCGCCATCGATCCAAAACATCCTTTGCTTGTTGCTCTGACTGAACCACAAGTTTTAGGGTTCTAGTTCCGCATCCTCTGTAATTTTGTGACAGAGGTATCCTGGTGAGCGATAGTGCCACAATATTATTCAAAGAAAGTGTTACACGAATGAACCACCACTGTTCTAAATCGTGCTTTCCGGACTCTTGAACATCGTTAGAAGGATGTTCTGGCACGCAATGTATGAAGATTGCGTTTAGGCGGTCTTACTTGCTGTGCCCCTCTTCGGTGTTTCTTTTTGATTGTCGCGCGCTCCAAGGGATATCAGGTTAGATACGTATCCCACATGATCCGTGTTTTAGCGCGCTTGCGGAGAGCAAAACGTTTTCTACGTCGGTGGAGGATTCTAGTGTTACTTGTATAAGTCTGGGTTCGCCATAATGTGGCGAGTTCGGATGACGAGTAATTCGTAATAAGTTTATGGGCTTGGCTTTGATACTCATCTGCATACACAATGAGTTCCATTGGTCTTGGTCGTCTGATAACTTAACCCGCAATGTGATGGCGGTAGATTCAGGGACATTTGAGCATACAACAGTGCGGGCACTGTTGTTGGATCCCATTTTCGTTGATCTACAAGGTATGGTACTCGTTTGTCCTGACATGTTGACAAGTGTTGTTTGTTTGCTGTTTGTCTCTATTCGCGTTAACGGTGTTCATAATGGAAGAGGCCGCAACGGCGGCCTCTCGGTGGACCCTTGTAGCAACAACTGCATATGTAACCGATGTTCTGGGAGGCTTTGTCTCGACAAGAGATATTTGAGCTACAGGTACCAACAGTTGGTGTTTGGCTGCTTCATCCTTGTTGATGCTAGATGTCAGGTCTAGTGGAATTTGCTTAACCAGACGTTTTGAGTGGTACCTGATTTTCGTTGACGTGAGTGCTGTCTGATTCTCGTAGGTACGGTCAGTTTTCCCCCGGCATTTTACCAAAGTTGGAGAAGACAACGGAGATGGAGAGGTTGCTGGTTGCGGTTCAGGGGAAGCGGATTGTTCAGCATTCCGTTGCTTAGAAGCCGCTACGCTTCCGTGGTTCATATTCGCTTCCATTGAAGTAATCTTATCGTTTATCCTCTACTCTGTTTCTGCGGTTAACTGGTCGCATTTCTTAGCTAGTATAAGCAAGCCCTATTCTGTGACAGCTCACAGTTGCCAAGCAGCGCTGGACCAATTAGCACTGGTTGTCAACCGTTTCGTGTTGTTTTGCACCATCGAAGTGCAAAGCTTTACTCCGAGATTCGCAGGGACCGTCTCCTGCACTGACTCATGGTGGGGATCAGATGGAAGTCGTTCAGAAATTCAACTACCTAGGAAGTTGTATCAGCGTCCTCGGCATCGAAGACTAGATCACGAACCATGTAGTCAAAGCTTGTGGCGCTTTTGCTAAACTTCGCTACCTATGGCGCTGGCGCGTCATCACTCTCGCCCCGAATAATAGAGTGTACAATACAGCCGTCCGTTCAACGCTCTTTTCCGGCTATGAAACCTGGCCCAGTAGATCAGCAGGTCGACGTGGCCAATTTCAAACGCGACGTCCCGAAGACACTTTCCGTGATTTTATCTACGCAGCAGTACACTGGAGATGCCACTGAGGGAAGTGGTGAAACGTTTGTCATTAAATTACTCGGATCGGAGAACGAATCAAAACCTTAACTACCAACCCGAGCTACAGGTATTCCGAATCATTGCAGACATAAGGATGCTAGTTACGTTCGACCACCTGTGCTTTCGCAGTTTCGCTCACATCTGGTGGGAACACCACGTGAGCAACGGGCGTGCTGGGCGCCTTGTTGAGGACACAGGTAGAGAAACTGAACCGCTCAGCACCGTTATTTCACGCACCAGGTCCCAATGGCTGGGCCACGTGTTGTGCATGCCAGCCCGACGACTTCCACGACATGTGTTGTTTTCGCGCCCGAGGTGTGGATGGAATAAGAGGAGAGGTGACCAAACTGACTTGGTCAAGAAGAATGAAGGACCTCACTTGGAAGCTGACGTCGGTTGAAACTTCTCGGCCCCCTGTGTAGGGTCCGAAAGACCATGAACACGTTTGGCTGGTTACACTTACTGACCTGTCTAGGCGTTCGTGGCTACCTTGTCGAACAATCTCCTCGTGGTGCCAGCTGTGTGGTTCGGGACAATCCCGTTCCAACGAATGGTTCGGCGGCAGTGTTCCAGGACGTGGTAGGTTTTCGCCTGGCAAGCGCTGCCTGACTGAAACACGACTCCAGGACGCTAACTCCGTATACCAGCTGGTGTCACCGCTCCACCCACGCATCCACTTCTATCGCCGCCTCTCTGGTGACGCCGAGTCTGCCGCATCTGGGCAAGCTGGTGTTGGAATCACCCTCAGTGCTAGAGCCGAGACTGCTTTGATTGATTGGATACCGATCAATAGCCGCCTTTGTGTGATGAGGCTCCATGGCCCTTGTAAAGTTAGCAGAAGTCGAGTCGAAAAGCGTGCTCTCTTCGTGATCTCTGCCTACGCGCCCACTGACTGTAGCTCGGACACCGTCAAAGACCAGTTCTACCAAAACCTTCATGAGCTGCTCCTAAGCGCTCCTAAAACAGACATCATTGTTTTGGCAGGTGACTTCAACGCGCGTGTCGGCCGTCTGCTGCCATGTGAGCGCCACCTCGGTCATAGGAATGCGTAATCCCCCATAAGAACTCGGGCTGAAATGTTAGGGAATGTTCAGCGGACGGTGTCGCCGAGAACGGGGCGACCTGATGATGGTCTACTTGATTCTGCATGATCCAAGAAAGGTGTGCTCCTCCTTATTGCACTGCAGTAGTAACACAAGCAGCTGTTTGAAGAGAAATTCATTGTATTACCCATCGGTTACCGGTAGCTCAGCTGTCTTGCACCTGTTACATTTCATTCCTCTTTTTCTTTTAGGTATTGCGGCACAGTAGCTCAGGTGTTTCCCACCTCTAGCTAACGTGTATAGTGTGTGTGTGTGTGTGTGTAGGATTGTAACACAAGCTTGAGAGGTCACCCCTTGAAACTGGCAGAACAGCATAGTCTTCTGGAGTGTCGGAGCAATTTCTTTTTTCCAGTCGCGTGAAACCCGTGGAATTCCCTTCCTGAATTGATCGTTGTTGTGCTTACACTAGACATATTAAAAAGTCAATTGGATAATGCACTCATCTACTTAGATCTCCGCTCTACTACTCCCGAAATATACCTTGGATTTATCAGTTGCCATTTGTTTGTGCTGTAGAAATACGTTGGATGCATGACTACAGAATCACAGATGATAAGTAGAAGTACCAATTGTTCTTATTAACTTTTTTCGATAATACGACAAGATAACTAAAAGGTGGTGCTTCTTAACCCGTGTAAAGTCATGATTTCTTGCTAATAAGATGTATCTTGCATCTGTCTGCATACGTGTCACATCGAACTGTGATAAGCAGCAGTATTCCGTCTTCGAACACATTTCACGCAGTACACAACGTCCACAGGACCATGAATATAAAATCTCATTAAGATCAACAACCAGGAAGATAATATTGGAAGATACTTGGAACCAACTGTTTCCAAACGTCTCTAAACTCAGTACTAAGAACGTATACAGTGCACCCACATTTCTCCTCATGCTTGTAGAACAGAGGTGACAAGTAGCGTAGAGAGTATCCCTGCTAACGGGTACCAAGATAGGTGAACTAGGTTTGCGTGAACTGAAAATGCACAACCATATATCTTAGTTAGGTCTGTTATTTACACTACCGTGAGTGTCATGCGGTTGTTGGCCAGCACCTCGTCTGAACTGTTGAGGGGGTGGACGTTGTGTCACACTACCGTGTTGCGCAGAGTTTGGTCTCGACTTCTGGTCAGTTCAGCTTGTGTGGCCTCTAAATACCAAAACATATCCTTTGTATGAGTATGTGACAATGGCTGTTTTTGTAGCGTACTGAATGAAATGCTAACCTCCCAAAAGACCCAAAGGTTACACGATCCCCGACTAATGGGATCAATGCGATTGACGTCGATGGTACAAACCTGTCCACTAGTCCGCATTGTTCCTTGAAAAAAGGTTGATCAACGAAATTACTCCATTTTGTTTCCCAAGCTTCTCACTGAGTATAAACATACGCAATACAAATGCATCACAGCCGTTCAGTAAATCGGATACTACATTGTGCGCTACAATATTTGGCAGCTTATATTCTTGCATTGCGGTACATTAGCTAAGGGGTGTCTCTTACCCTCAGCTATCGTGTAATGATTGCCAGAAAAGGTTCGGTAAGTGATGTTGGTACTTTTGCAACTGATTCCACTGTCGGTAAACTCGTATTATTCTCAGTGAGTTGGCTGGTATAATTTTACCTTACGTGTACCGCACTATGTATGCGTTCCAGAACCCCGTCAAGTAAACGTACGTTCTACTTTGGATGGTTTTGATTTTTCAGGCTTCATTCAAATGACAGTTAAATTTCAATGGGTATTCACCTTTCCTACACGCATACAGTGTATATTTTGAAAAAATTCCAGTACTAAAACACTTTTCTTGTTTAGGGTTGCAGTTTAATTGCGGAAAAAGTTGACGTAAGGTAGGGAATTTTATCGTCCCAGTAGATGAACCTAGAATACAGGTTAAAAGAGAATATGATGCTCATTTTATTTTCCTAGCCATGAAGAATTCATAGCAGCAAGAAGAATGAAGCCTATCGTTGCACCACTCAGATGAACTGAAATCTCTCGAAAACGCATGTTACAGTTTTCAAGGAATTCGCGGATCCATACCAGCCAGAGTGTAGACATCGTCAATAAACGCCTGATAGTTTATATTGTCCACGACGCCCAATCGGTGCCGATATTTGCGATATAGGCATGACCATTCCCACTCGGTCAACGTGTCCGTCAAATCCAGCGTCCTGAGTACACGTCGGAACTGACTATGACTAACAGTCAGTCGGTGGGTTTCGTCGAAATCGTGGAATAGTGGTAGCAGTTGTAATCGCCTTTGCCGCACCTGCAAACATCAGATGGAGTGTTTATCCAACAATTAGGGATTTTGAGGGAGGAGACTTGGTAGCGAACATAGTTCAAATAAATAATCGCTCAAACATTCAATTCTGTGATGAAAGCTCTTTCCCACACTTCTCACCAGACTAACATATGGTCATCAGGCTGATGCGACGCTAGTGCACGCGCTATTTTATCCTAACCGTACTTTGATCGAAAACGCCATTCATCTCAATCACATACCGTGACTCAGTTGTCCTCGTCACCCAATGGGACGGACATACCATCGCCTATCGGTTGCGCATGTATATGCTAAGGTTGAAGCTGCGTACATTATGCTTCCTCACCACAATTGGGCTACACAGATTTTCACTTGCACATAAACTATACCTTCTTAACCTGGATAAAATGCATTCTTTAATGTTTGGATCAGTTGTGTCATTCTGCTAGCTATACCACGTCAACTTTGCGTTTTATTTTTCTTCAAATTCTGTGTGGGCTGTTTGATATCCCCGGTGTAGTTGCGTTTGATCCGCTACCACGATTTTACTGGCTCCGAGAGACAGTTGATCGTTGCTTCGAAGGACAGGTGCATGGCCCTCGTGACCGTGCTAGGCTCAAAGAGTGGTTCTATCCAGTGTGGAGCGGACCACGACCTAGCCACCGCCTTGTGCACCTCTGGTACGCATGATTCTCCACATAGACAGGAATTCTGTTGAGGTGCATATTGCAAGAGTGTAGGCCGGCTCCGTTGATGAAACGTGGCTCCCATCTACCTGACTCCTGATCTTATTCCTTCGGGTCTCCACTGGGTATGGGGGATGTGGGTGGAGCGGCGCAAGCTACCCATAGTCCTTTGTAGGGGCAGGTGTCCTGTGGCTATCCTATGTAGGCCACAGTGACAGACATAATCGGAATCAGATGCCGCTAACCATGCTCCCGTGCGCTCTTACCGTCACCTGTGGCAGAGCCTGATAGAAGAATAATACAGTCTGGTTAGACTTCGTCAACTCTAGCCTAGGTTCCTTCGACAATTGAAATAACCAATGTTTGATGTGCATGGGTCGATGATAATCGTGTGAACACTTATCTGACGACAGCTAGAAGGGGACTAGTACATCAGCCTTATGAATATGTTTGTGAGTGTATAAGGTGATTTTACTAAAATTTCGCAATTAACCTGACGGAGGAGAGCTTCGGATGCTCATCCACTCAGCCTAACGTGTAAAGTGAAAGACTATTTTTAAGATGAACTACTTACTAAACAAATGGTAGGAGTGGTTAACTAAAGGTTGAAGAAGATTGATGTTCACACAAATGGCGACGCGATATTCGAAATAAAATAAATTCAAAAATGGATCGCTGAACTGATGTATACTTCCGGTCAGCCGGATGGGAAGCATCCAACGAATGTAATTCGCCATTAGCTGTGTACACTCCCCAACCGAAGGAACTGTCCAATATTAATGTATCGTATGTCGCCATCAGTGGTCCTTATCCGCGATCCAAATGTGCTGCCTATAACCCCTTGTTCAGTACTATTGGAGTCAACTAGCTGGCAGCGTTGTAACGTGTTATTTGGGGGTGTACTTTGCTATCAGATCATTGTCAATATTGATATACGCCGTGATAGTAGCCGGTACTACACTGACTGTACCAACTGACCGCAGCCTGTTACCTTAGTAGGTTAGTGATCGCTTGTCAGTGTTAAGTAACGAATAAGCGGTCGTCACTAGGAAAATGGAACATTAAGGTAACACCTAAAAGGTTGTTTAGTAAAGAGAAGTCTCTCTCCATCAATATTCCCATATGGCAACAAGTAAGAAAGCTTTTCGCATAATATAGTCCGTGTAACTCATTAAGAACGTGCATGAAACCCTCGGACAGAGATAATCCGGTCGAGCTTCGAGACGATTAGCAGAACGCCACACAAATAAACTGCATAAATACCGGACCACATAACTTTATGGGTAGCGGTTGTGCGAGCTCCAGATCGAAGTGCCTAGTATACGTTTAGTTTAAAATAAGTACCACAAATTCTAGCTAACCAACTGGGCTTGTTTCGCCCTATGGTTATTTGTGGCGTAAGTTGGGGCTACGCGATGCAATTCAGACATGAGGATGAGCGAAGAAAGGATCGTATACGCTTCACAACGAATCATTGTAGCTGGTGAAGGGCTATTTCGCGACACGTGAACTGTATTTTTGCCTGAAGTTCACGTGAACAAACTGTGGCCTCTTACTCAGTGTGCTGAGCTGTGTTGAGCTACAAATTGAAGTGAGTGCGCCCGTATGAAACGCTGTGTCGTCCCACAAATAGCTTGGTAAACGGATGTGGCACAAGTAAAGAATTTGAAAATCATTAGTTAAAGTGCCCTCGCACAAGAAAGCTGGAGATGATGACGTTTGAAAGCGAACATATACACGATTTGTACTGTTGCATACTGGTTATATATATATATATATATATATATATATATATATATATATATATATATGCCACAATGTTCAGGCGAAGCCTGCGCAGGACTCGCAAGTAGGCACCGAGGCACCTGGAGTTTGCAAACCACTCGAGACCGTCGTAGCCGAGGTATTGGCGCCACTCCGGAAAGACAGAGTGGCATAGATTTGAAGCATCAATGCTTCCGTTAACAGCCTACCGAATGAATTAGTTGAATGGACTGCACTGACAGTTAGAACCATGTCCACATTATCGATAGGGACTTTCAGAAATCGTCGACTTAACCACTGCTTCTCCTTATGTCGGCTCAGAGTTATGGCATCAGATAATCTATCCTCAGGATGACTGGAAGTGCGTTGGCTGTAGATCAGAGTTCCAGTATCGTTGTTCTACTCATTTTGTGTCGCATTTGATATAGTCTAAGGTTAGGTATTGGGGCCGGGCTTACTCGTTTTGGTCAGTAATGAATTAATGCGTAGAACTGCCCAAAATGTCTTATTTTATTGAGAAGTCAAACATGTCAGGCAATTGGCAAGTACAGGAATGAAGTATTCCAACGGGATAGATAGTTTTCAGATGACGACCAACCTAACCCGGAACAAAGCCAAACAGTGTCACAGAATTGTGTTCGAACTTAGCAACTGTGCGCCAAAAAAGCGAATAACCAACGTGTTCCGAGTGTAGTACGCAAATGACTACAGGCGAGCGTATGCAGATCCGGAATGTTCCCATAAATGCATGAAACCTGTGTTTATTTTGCACAATTGAACACCGTTCATTTCGACTGGCCTACAAACGCATGCAACTTGTGTGAAGCTTTCACCTCATGTAAAATCACATGTTTCAATGATCGACGGTAGTCTGTGTTTTTGGCATTCTCCTTTCTTATCTGGGATATTTTGTCCGGTTTGGTGTCCATTTTGCCAATACAGTTTAGTCGTCTAGTATCGCGTGTTCTGGCATGCCACAGTGCATCAAGTAGGAATCTTTGTGAAGCTAAACTGTGCCACCCATAGACCACAACAACGATAGTGCTCGTGAAGTACCAAGCAAGAAAATGGTTGGGATTAACATGGATAACTGCACAGTTGTAAGCTAAGTAGCGCATACACACATGGGAACCAGATTGTACAGTATTTCCAAACAGCGTAACCATAGACTACAGTTTCAGGGCTACCTTGATTGTGCAAATTAATCCGTGTAACCGTCGAAAAGCGAAGTACAACACATCAATCACTTGCGACATGTGTTCAGATGACTTGACATCTCAATCTTTCGGTGAATTCTTAAGGCGTACTCAAGTTCTTAAATGGAACAGGCCATCCACATTCGATAGCACTAGCAGAGGTATGAGCTTACTTCACTCGAAGCAGTGTACAGTAAAGGAAAAATCAGACTCTTATGAACTTGCTTGAATTCCAATACTGATGAAGGGTGTAAATCCAGGAAACTACAGCTACCGTATCCACGATTACATTGGTGACATTATAACGGCCTAACAGATCCACACGAAACCCATCCATGTCTAAAGCTTCCGCTTTAAACTTGGCCAACCCAATAAGTAGAAAGGCTATATGCTCTAGTTGGACACACATAGTACCCCAATCTGAAAGTAACTCATTAAATTTCCCCCGAGTGCATCCATCAAGCGACGTTCTTCCGAACCCAGTTTTGTTCTCACGGCAGTATCAGTATACAGTAGAAAAAGAAACAACAAAATAGCTCCCGTATATGGTGGAACAGAACAAGTTACTGCACATCATAAAATCGATGTAGATCATGTTAAACCCTTGGTAACATAAACTTCGTGATGAGTTCCCTCATCCGTGAGTCATTTCGTTGATGTCTATCTTTGATCTAACATTTTCCATCCCCTTGGAGTAGACGAGCACAGTTTTTTCACATAAGTAGTGTAGGTAACCCAATAGTACTCGAACCAGTTTCTCCCGATGTACAGCATTGAAATGGAAATGAGTCGGATTATTATATCCATTCCGGAATTACACACAATCTCTTAAGTGCTCAGTCAGGAAACATCGAACACAAGCTGATTTGCGGGCAGAGGGCATGATCATTGGAAGACTATGGTACACAATTTTGATAGGTATCCTATTACCAATGGTGGAGTAACTGCTTCAGAAGCTGTGTAATAAAGAACTCACTCTGTCAGCAATCTTGACCAATGCACTGTCAGCAGCTTTCGCAACATCTACGCTGAGAATGTTCTGTGCAACGGTAGAGTCTGGAACGTAAGTGTCCGGCTCTAACTGTGGATTCGTCTCAAGGGAAGGAGTCTGGAAAATACGTTCGATCTCTGCGCAGAATCGACGCCAGTCTATGGTTCCTGGTTTCGGTCCGCCGAACCTGAATCAAAACAGCAGGGTACTGAAACATTTGCAACAGTAGTCGGAGACAGTAACACTTGAGAGTAAACACTTTAGAGGGTATCGAAAACCTGTGCCGTTGGTTTATCAGGTTAACTGAACATGACAGGCATTATGAGCATTTCAACAGTCATATTTTCGGATGGATATCCTAAATAAGCATCACCTGAAAACGCTAGAATAATGTATAGAAACGTATAATTGGCAAATGTTCGGTTAAAGACGCAAACTGTGCAATCACTACAGACGAGATGCGGACTAAGCTAGAGTTTTCAGAAGTAAAAGATGTTCATACGAACCAATGTGGACCTCCTGTTCTTTGGCATGATGAATTCAGCGAAATATAGAAACGGTAAAACAGATAGGAACCTTGAAAATGTACCCTGATTGAATTCTGGATTTTGCTCGCTAATCGTGAAGATGGCAGGGCTGTAACATGGGTTTGCTCTAGCTAGTTCCATTGAGTGTGAATTCATGCAAATTCACTAATGTTCTCAACACAGCCACTAGTGCAGTCGATTTCACCCCTAAGGGTAAATGTAAACAGCTAGATACCACAAATCAGAGAACAATCCTTCCTCTTGGTGTCCTATAGCTGCCACTAATGGAGGGTCCTACGACCAGTTTCACGCGCTGGAATACTGTTCTTGCTGCACATATATTACGAATTTCATTTTTCATAATCTCTACGGCAGTGGTCAGTATTGCCCTGCTGGCAGCCCGGTTATGGAAATGCATACTATGCTCCAGTTGAAGAGTTTTCCTCCCTATCGAGTCAAATACAGGAATCAAGATGAAACATCTACGGGGCTGTGCCTAGACAATATAACTGTAAATGCTGAAAACACAAAATAACGTTGAATTGTACCAAAGGCGTGACATTGGATCATAATCTGGACTACCACAGTGGACAGAATAGAGTCGCCCAGTGAAGTCGTACTCTAGCTGTTGTAGCTACCCCGTATTCTCAGCCAGTCACCGAGCAACATAAGTTGATTTACATTCGTCTGTTATCAATCGAAGGTGGTGGTTTGCTAGGGTGTACTTTGTTTCTCTCACAAAATGTTAAGTGAAAGGGTAGTGATTACCCTATACACTACAAGGTTTTTGGTTGAACGTGAATTTGACTGGGTACAGTACCAAAAAGTGCTTACTTAGCATCTGATTAATAACAGTCGGACTTCCGGGGTGCCACGGTTTGATGAACGGACTAAATCACCGATCGAACAGTTCGATATAAGTGATGGAGTGACACGATTCAGAAACCATGATACAATTTGCCACTTGCCTGTCTTCAATCGAGCTCATCTCAGTTTCGCCTACCGTCAGCGGCAGAACTCCAATACAACGTCTAAACGTTGTTCGTGGCATGTAACCATGATTCAGATTGTCGTGATCACGAAACCAGTCAGAAAGGCGAATGCGCCTGCGATAAACCTGGGAACGAAAAGTGCGACAATATGTGCACCAAGAAGATCGGAAAGTCTTAACAGGTTACACGGTTATTTCGAAGTAGTCGTTTGGTGAATGGATTGCGACGCGCAGCCTCAATGTAAACCGCACTTTACACTGAAGTGAACCTTGGTCAATGCGATCACTGGGACCGTAGCCGAAGCAGATGGAAATGGGATGTTGCAGTGTTTTCCAACGGGCAACGCTCCATTTCCGTCGTAACAGGTTGCTCAACGCGTTGTGAATATAGTATAAGAAGAATAACAGCGAATAGCAAACGTTCTCTAACCACATCGAGCTAAGTATATGTAATATGCTTGGATGTTTATCACGAGTAGAAAATGGAACAATCTAGATATGACCGATTAACATATCGCAAGTTTGGTCAAATCGTCGATGTAACTTTACTGTCCTCTATGGTAAGGAGCCATCCAAAAAAGCAATCTAGGCGAAAGCTACATATGCCTCCAAGATGGTCTAAGGTAACCTAATTGGCCGCCTATTTTTGCCAGATCATGACCTCCTTTGTTGTGTTTGACGTAATACGTACATACTGTGGTGTGTAAGGCACTAACTTGACCCGACATAACCTGGCATGGTTATGCATTTTCAAGTATTTCATGCTCCTCGATGCATTTGGGCCTCTTATCAAACAGACCATTGCAAGTACTCCAAGGGTTTGTTAAATTATTGTCCGACCAATAGTACTGTGTTGAAGTAGTCTGCCTCTGGTCAAACCTTTTACCACCGTTGCTAAGAGAAATTTGAAGTAAAAAATATATTAAGTGTACAAGCGCAGACTAACTACCGAGGACAATAGGCATGAAGGTAAACAAGTTTATCCTTATTGCTGTTCTGAAATATTTGAACTCGACGTCCTAAATAAACGAAGAAAATAGAACAGTTTATAAGCCTTTGCTTTGCTAGTACACCAAAGCTTCCGCGCTGCCCGGGGTATATTAGAGGCTTCTGGTGGCGCTTTAGCAACCAAAGTAGTAATGTAACAATGGTAGCAGTGGGTATAAAAGTTAATGCTCGACAATTCCCGTGGAATGGTTATGTTAAAAGTTACAAGATAAAAATCAGAGTCAGTAAAAGAACGTGTGAGATACATTACTCAGCAAGAGGTTTGGATTAGCATATGTGTGAGCATTCCTGACTGGATTTTACAAGGATGATGACACTATTCGGCACTTATGCCGTCATCTGATGGTCATGAATTGCTTGAATAGTGATAAGGTGGGGGTACTAGTTACTAGCGTTGTGAGACATTTCTAGGTCCGTGACACTCGGTGGACAAAAACCTTTCGTCGGCGGATTTTGGTCTCTGATGCGCTTGCCACGAGCCTATCGAATCTGTTGCAAAATTCTCCATCCAGCTAGAAAAGACCAGCTTGCTGCACCAATGAGGTCAGACAAGTTATCATAGTAGGCTACGACGTGAGATTCCTGTGCATGTGCCTTAGGATACTCCGCGTAGCACATGTAATGAAACACTAGTGTTGAATGATCGCTGAGACCCAAAGGAGTACACGTTGTTGCTATGTCGATCATGAGTTCCTCGTTGGTGAAAATGAGGTTCAAGATGGCCGGTTTGTTCCCTGTTTTGGAACCTGTTGGAGAGGTGGTACAGCGGTGATCCAGCAGTTAGCCATTGCAGCTCCATTTTGCATTGCTTACCAAGAGTAGCCGAGAGTTCTAGAGCGTTCGAGTCGAAGTCTCCTATCAGGAGAACGTGGCTGTAAGATCGTACCAGTATGTTCTTCATAGCGGAGGCTGGGACCTGATCCTTTTCTAAAGTGGACATTGATGGGCGGTATACAGTGGACACTAAGCTTCTTTCGCCCTAACTTAGATGCAAGCAGAACCATAAGTCATGCACCGTTTGAAGCCATGGGTCGTATACGCCGTTGAGAAGTAGCTCAGAACGGTAGCAACTAATTGCACCGTCACCCTTGGTGAGTCGGTCGTCGCACAAGAGTGACATACCACGTATTGGGATCTCGGTGCTTATAATCACGTCATTCAGTCATCTCGGTTGGTATGATGATATTGCAACACATTGAGGCTTGAGGAGAAAGAAGCTCGGCCAATCCACTGAAAAGGCATGGTGCGTTTGTACACAAACACTTGAGAGCAAAGGATACGAGAAGCCTACCTGAACACACAAACGTTTGCTGCGAATTTATGCCGACGATTGTGGAGCCAGCTGACAGTCGAATTTGGATGTCCTACTCCCTATGCCGTTTCGGGCTTTTGCATAGAGCACCTACGAAGTAATCCTTCAAGGACGAATTGCAGCCGATTGCCTGTTCCTTCCTTTTCAGACAGCTGGGAAGTTGCACAGCGGCCCGATTCGGAAATGCATACAGCAGGGCTTGCGGCGAAATCTCGCTAGTTTTGTTTTCCCTCAGCCAAAGGTGGCCTGGCTTCGACCGCCTTCAGATGTACCTCTGATGGCAGTTTGGTGCGTAACTTGTGCTAACTTCCGTGCACCCTTTCAACTATTTGTTTGGAGCAGAGCAGGACTTCCAGAACCCTTGGACCACATCATTTATCGTTGGGCAAAATGGATAACTTTGACGTTTAGTTGGCAATCACGTTGTGAAGCAAGAGGGCATCGTGGTTTTAGCGCCACACTTCCAAGTCAGGAGCTTGGATCTGCGACTCGTCTGAAGACTGCATTTCGGGGACAACATGGACAAGGATTGATCTTTCGTTGCTTTGTTCGCGGTATTCTCCTGGGTTTTGTTTCCGACCATCGTTCCAATAGATATGGGGGAATACACGAACATCGCACGAGGAATGGCAAAGATGGTGAGCTGACAGCAGGGCGGTCTCTGCTTCGTCACCCGACTGAAATGTCACCTGAAATAGCCTTGGCTCGCCATAGTGAACTGAGTTAGGGTGGCGTACGATACGACACAAGCTGGCCTGTTTGGCTCGGATTCTCAATGCTTAGCATGTAGATTCAAAAATCGCCTTGACGTTGCACTGACACATTTACACTACGTGATGTAGCACGTCATCAGCAATTGACGTCCACGGTGAAGAACAAACAGTGGGCGGTATCAGACATTTGTTTAAAATCTAACAGAAATACTAATTTCAGTTCAACTGAAAACTGCATTTGCTTGTTTACTTGTCCTAAACTATTCAGCTATCGCGTGTAGACACATTGTTGTTCTTTTACTTCTCCTAGTCTCCTTCGTAAAATCTACAGCTTGTTTGTGGTGTCATCAAGGTATGCTGATCAGCAAGCAATGTGCTGCCTCCCCCACAATCTCCCCCAAGGCACTGTCTGGCCTCGCATAGTACATGTTTGATGAGTGTATCTGATTCTTTAAAGAACAACATTTAACAGCTTCATTCCCCTGCGGTTAATCCTGTTGCAATGCGGCCCTAATATTGATGTCACATTAATTTTGTCAGTAGAGCAGTTCATACTCCTTTAAACCGAGACCTCCAGTTATTTATGGACATTGGACGATAATTAATTTTGCGAGCTTTTAGCATGCCTGTTGTACAAACGGACTGCTACACATAATCTGCATTTGAACGGCAGTTTATTTTGAACTGAGGTTCGGTTAGTATGGACACTGGGTCGGCATTTGAACCAGAAAGATTTCATATCTTCTCCAATGCCAATACTGTACTTAACCACCAATCTGGGGCTTGGTTACCCTGTTCAGGTGGAGATAAGCAAACTGGAGGTCGAACTTGTCCTATCAAGGATTATGACTAGTTCATTTTATGATCTAATGCATTCGAGTAGTGTGGGAAATGCTGAAACTGTACACTAACGGATGCACACGATCTATTGTTACTTGGCCAGATCTGTCTGTCAGTAAGGTGAAACTGATAGATCGAATAACATGCTGACTAATGCCGCGTTGAATATGTGGTCGTCCAACTTGCCATATACGTCCGTCTCTAGTAAAAATGGAAGTATAGTGTACTTAACCGAGTTCAAACGACATGTATTTCAGATAAATATTGTTCAAGAACCGGTCCTCAATGCATACACCACCGCAAAACTCACACCTAGCCAAGACCGTTTGCTGAAATGTACTTGCTTATCAACTAATTCTAGCACTAGCTATTGTCAGTAAACTATCGCATCGTAATCCGATACAATCAGAAAATAACAACATTATCATAACCATGGTGCACCTTCGGTAGAGGTGGGAACACCTCACCCATTGTGCCGCGGTACACGAGAGTGAAAAAGAGACACAACGCGACGGAGCTCTCGAGTCAGTCGCCGTTGAAGTCTGTGAAAAGGACTCTTCTTACCAAACTCACTGGGGTCTGCCACATGTGCAGCCAATGCTGCAGTCTTCACAGCCACCAATGCGCCAATCGTCGCATTGTTCTTATCAAACCAATCAGGCCGCTTAGAGTTTGTGCGCCCGTTGGTCTCCTTGGCAGCAGCTGTCATCTGGTCGCGAATATGATGCCACAGGTCGCCCACTGTGACTATGCATTCCACATCACACAGTCGTATAGCCATCGTCTTCTCCAGCTCAATACGCTTCACCATAATACCGAGGAAGAGAATGTTAAATTTACGCCGATTCACGGCGGAAGTGCAATACATAGATTTACGAAAATATATGTACAGTTTGGTCTGCACCAAGTTGAGATCAGTGCCACACTCAGCTCAACGCAGTACACGTGTCATGTGCACTTCACGCATGTCACGCTGAAGTACGATGACATAGTCGAGCAATTGAGCGTAACTACTCCGTGGGTGCGTCCAAGTTGCTATATCACTCGCACTCAGTGCAAACCGAGTGTTCGTGATCGTCAGGCCGTGAGTGGCACACAGTGAGAGCAGCCTGTCAACGTTCGCATTCGTTGAACCAATGCCATGCGGACCGACGACATCTGTCCACACCGATGTATCACACCCAACGCGCGTCGAAATCACCCAGCAGAAATAGTCGGTCGCTCCTCGGCACAGACCGTACTACGGAGGATAG